CTCTATGTCTCTCTCTGTCTGTCTGGAGAGCGCACGCGCCCTACAGTGAAAATCTCTCCAAAAAAAAAAAAAAAAAGAATGCCTAGAAAGACATGTTTTCATTTTAAAATTCAGTGTCAATACCCCTCCTTAAAAAGATCATTTGTTTCGGGAACCAGCAGTTAGCGTAATGGCTATGTCGCTGGACTCCCACGTAGTCAACCGTGGTTCATGTCCCGGACCCGGTGGCTTAAAACTCACGCCGGGCGCGTGTGCGTGCGTGCCCAAGATCCCGAGAGGAGAATGGACGAGAAGGGATTGCGGCGTGACCATCCCCCCTGGGGGGTGATTTCTCGCTTTCTGTCTCTATGTCTCTCTCTGTCTGTCTGGCGAGCGCACGCGCCCTATAGCAAAAACCTCTCCAAAAAAAAAAGATCATTTGATGGATTTTATTATGGATACATAGCTATAGAAGATGAGGTACTACTGACTTTGAAAATATAAATGTAGGGAATACACATAGACCAACTGCCTGTTCATGACTGCTGTATGAGTAGGACTGCCAACATTCTCAAAGTGAAGACATGGCCCCCAGAAACAAACCTGCAGTGAGGGCTTATAAGTCCATGAGTTAGAAAGGGGTGTGCAAGCCCAGCGGTGTTACAGGTGGGGGGGTGCTGTTGCGTGATTCCGAAGCTGTGTGGAAGGTCCCAGGTTTGGAACCTGCGTGGACCTGAACACCTCAGGCATGCTTGTGGGCACCTCTGATCTTTGACTGGCTAGAGGACTGGATGGGGCGGTGAGTGCATTTGCAGAGAGGCCCTGTCGAGAGTGTTTGTATCTGCATGTCTCCCCTTTTCTCTCTTCATCTCTTACTCACATGCATGGAGGAACTGGATGAATAATGTTTTCAAAAGTTTGTTGTTTTGTTTTTGTAAAGAGGGGAAAGGCTGTGAAAATTAGACCTATTGGTTTGTTGGAGAGAAAAATCATCCGAGGAGATGAAAACAGGTGGGACAGTGGCACAGCAGTGACACGATGCTCTGTGGGGTTGACCCACAGGGGAAGCTTCTGCGTCCAGAGCAGGAGACTTCGCTGAGTGCTCCAGGCACAGACGTGCCCCCGACCTAGGGCGGGCTGAGCCTGGTGTTGTGTTGTCGCCTCCGAACCCTGTTGCGGGTGCCGTTTCACTCTTGCTCTCTCTCCATCTGTTTCACTCTTAGAAGAAATTAGTACATAAACTTTTTAAAGAATTGTTTTACTTAACTTTATTTACTTATTTAACTTTACCAGAGAGGGACAGAGTGAGAGAGAGAGAGAGGGGTAAAGTGAGAAAGCAAGCCACCAAGTCCAGAACTTGAACCATGGTTAGCCATGTGGGAATCCAGCATTCTTAACCACCATGCCACCTGCTGGCCCCTAATAGATAAACTTTATTTTAAAATAAATGAAAATATATATTTAAGACTATTCAAATTTTCCTTCCTTTTTTTCCCCCTCCATAGGCTTCACAGGCTGCTCAAGAAGCTGAGATCAATGCCAGAAAGGCCAAAAATTCTGTTACCAGCCTCCTCAGTGCCATTAACGACCTCCTGGAGCAGCTGGGTAAGTGCCCAGAGAGCCGGTCCAGTCAGTCTCTGAGTCCTGGTGCTATTCCTGGGACCTGATGTAGTTGACTCAAAAGCAGTTACATTCGGTTTACCTGAATCCCTTTCAAGTCGTCCATTCAATTATTAATATTTCTCTTCGCTTTTGTGTGCTTAAAAATGCCTTATAAAATATGTGTCTTGCATGGAGGAGTTTTTTTTTTTTCTTAGAATTATTTTATTTAACTTTATTTATCTATTTTAATTTGACCAGAGAGGGAGAGAGGAAGAGAGAAAGAGATGGAAGGTGAGAAAGCAAGCTGTCCAGTCCGGGACTCAAACCACAGTCGGCCATGTGAGAGTCCAGCACCTTAACCACCATACTACCTGCTGGCCCCACATGGAGGAGCCTTAAAAACAACTCGCTTTGGGATTAGCAGTTAGCGTAATGGCTATGTTGCTGGACTCCCATGTAGTCAACTGAGGTTTGAGACCCGGACCTGGTGGCTTAAACTCATACCGGGTGCGTGTGTGTGCATGCCCAAGATCCTGAGAGGAGAATGGAGGAGAAGGGATTGAGGCATGGCCATCCTCCCTGGGGGGTGATTTCTCACTTTCTATCTCTCTGTCTCTCTCTGTCTTTCTGGTGAGCACACATGCCCTATAGCAAAAACCTCTCAAAAAAAACCAAAAACTTGCTTTATAACAGCATTGATAGTCATCAGTGTTAGAGTGCAGGCTGAATCAGAGCCTGGGTTGGATTAATTCCCTAAAGACTTACGAAGGGTGCTCCTTGGATCCTGCCCTAAGTGGAGCATGTAGCCTGAGCACTTTCTTGTTCTGTTTTGAAAATGTGCAGCCAGCCAAAATGGCTCATTTATGGTCCACATTCGCGGTGCAGTTAAGCTGGGATTTTCCTTAGCTCATCCTGCTGGCAGTGTCTTCAAGGGGTTCAGAGCGAAAGATTTCCGTGCTAGAATCAAAGAACGCTAAACTGGTCTTGACTTCACTGCTTAGAATTCTCTTCACTTGATTAAGTCTAAAGGACAGTTTGATGAGATGAAAGCTTTTGTGCCAAAAGACTGAAAAAATGATTTTTCAAGGAACTGTCAGCATACTGAAACCTCCATTTAATCTAGTTGGATGGGGACCAGGCTTCATTTTTGGACAGATGTGCTTCTGTCACGAGACTCCATTATAGAGCAGTGACACCATGACTGCGATGAGCGCCTATTTTAATTTGCTCGCCTTTAAAGATGGGTGTGGCTTTGTAAAGTTTTTTTTTTGAAAGGTCAAGGGAGTATTTTGTATGGGTCTCAAATGTGAAGAATAGTAAGTTAGGTGCCAGCAGATGGATTTAAAATTAAAGTAAGCCAGATGAGAGAACTTTTTATGGAAGAAGGAATAGGACTTCAGCATTAGCCTCGGGTTAGGATCTTCGCCTCCTTGCCTGTGAACTGCACAAACTCAGCAGTTATCGAACAGCGGAGAATCACTGAGGTAAAATGATCCTGGGAGAATTTGATCAAGAATGCATGAAGTCCTGTTTATTGTGTCTTCTTTTGCTTATTATGAAAGGAGTTTCTGTTAAACAAACCATTTGTCTCGAGAAGTTTAAAGTGAAGCTTTGCTGAAACTATTTCAGCATTTCACCATTTTTTCATGGGAAGGTCCCTGATGGTATCTAACATCCAAAAGCAGGAAGTGGCCCCCTAAACTAGCCCATCTTTGCTACAATCTGTCACACTTAAGATTAACTTAACAGATTTTTTATGGGGTCAGCAGGTGGCATGGAGGTTAAGGCAGCTGGATCCCCCATGGCCAAATGGTACAGTTCGAGTCTCAGACCTGGAGGTTTGAAAAACATGCCAGGTGCCTGTATGTGCATGTCCAAAGTCCTGAAAGGAGAAGAGAGAAATCACCCCGAGGAGTGATTTCTCATGCCTTCCCCCTCGTCCCATCTCCGGTGAGGGAAACCCACCAAGTTTTTCTATAGCAAAAACTAAAAAATAAAAAAGGGGGGGAGCTTTTTTTATGTTCTTTGGATCATGCTAAGTAACACATGGATTATATATGTAACCCTGAAAAGTATCTTAAGTATTACCCTATGACCTTCAAAACCACAAGTGAAGCAAAAGGTTATAACATGGTAGTTGTGCATTTAGAAAACATTCTGCAAAAACCATTTTCTCAGGAAAAAAAAAAAACAAAAAACAAAACATCTGACCCAGTATTAATGACATGCTCCGATCCATCCCTGCTGGGCTGCATTTGGACTTAGTTTACGTGGTTCATGCCCTCGAATGACCTCAGCCTGTCACGTGGGCAGGTGCCTTTGACTAGTGGCTGCTGCTGGCCTTGTCTGTAAAAGGGCAGGAGGAGGCAGTGGGGAGCGTCGTCATGCTCACTGAACATGCCTGTCCTCTTCTGTGTCCCCTCTGACTCCAGGGCAACTGGACACCGTGGACCTGAACAAGCTCAATGAGATCGAAGGCACCCTGAACAAAGCCAAAGATGAGATGAAGGTCAGCGACCTGGACAGGAAAGTGTCTGACCTGGAGAACGAGGCCCGGAAGCAGGAGGCCGCCATCGTGGACTACAACCGCGACATCGAGGAGATCCTGAAGGACATCCGTAACCTGGAGGATATCAGGAACACCTTGCCGTCCGGCTGCTTCAACACCCCGTCCATCGAGAAGCCCTAGCATCTTCAGGGCTGGAAGGCAGGTCCCCCCGCAGGGGGCCCGTCGTGAGGCCACAGAGTGCCTTGCCACAAAGATGACATTTTTCAGACCCCCACTTCTCTGCTGCTTTCCACCACTGTCCTTTCAAACCCGGAAACGTCACAAAGTTGAAAGAGAAGCAAACGACACATCCAGCTCGGGAACAAAGGGTTTCATCCGATCGCCGCTCCTGTGCTCAGTTGCTGCCTTACCCACACTGTCCTTGCTGATTTGTGTGAGGATGTGGCATCCCGTGAGGACATTTCCGTACAGTGGCCTAAACGCGTCATGTGAGCCCTCGTGGCAGGGCACAGCAAGCAGCCCTGCCCCTCATCGAGCCCAGCAGGCCTTCCCCAGTTTCAGTGCCCTGATTTCTATGAAGGAAAAGTTCAGCTGCTGGCAGGAGTGTCTAATGGCCAATGTACCCATCCTGTGAGTCATGGAAATGCCTCTGCATCTCCCGCCCCTTCCCCTTTGAAGCAAAAGGACATGAACATCCTGTGCCAAAGGTATTGGTCGCTTGGACTGTTGGTAGCCATCCAGCCATCGCAGTGGCTGTTCTGAGTCCAGGGCACTGAGCTCTCCGCGGGTAAGGTTGCAATCGCTCATGGAAGTGTCCAGCAGAATGCGGCTGCAGTAGGCTGGTTTCCTCACCTCTGATCATGGACTAGGATAAGCTGTGTCAGATCTCTGGGCAGCTGGTCATTTACATCCGGATGGGCAGTGTGCACTTTCCAGTAGGCCAACAGATATCTTTGAATACTCTTATAAATGGAACTTCTATAGAAGAAATGGGGAGATGATAACCACTGAAGTTTTTTCCAAAATCCAACTAATTCCTGGAGCTTATTTTAGTCTGTTAGTCTTGGAACTAGTCATATACTTTCTGGCAGAGAACAGCTGGTCCCTAAGATCCTGACAGAATGAAACAGAAGAATAAACCTGTCTGTCCTAGTCTCTTCTAGCCGAGGATAAAACGTAGATGCGACGGAAGTCGTCAGGGTCCCATCTTTCCATTTTGTCCTCTGTCGGAGAGATGAAACAGCAGACGCTTCGCTCCAGCCTCCTTCTGATGTGCCTATCTTCTGGAATCCTTCAAACACACTGTTGTTTGCCCAATCCTGGTGGCAAATGCTTGCACTCGGCA